ATCTTGGGAGTTGTTAGCCAACAATGTTAAGAATAATTGCACGGGGCTCAAGTTCTAGTCGGTAAAACTGTAGTTAATACAGTATTAACGGCAATCAGTAGCAAAGTACATTATATTGTCGAGACTAAGACGAAATAATTAAGGAATTGTGCATTATCAAATGCATTCTTATCGTCACATATCTCATTTTTCAGTATATCAACACAACAGGAGCTCGCGTGTTTTTAAAAGAGTTGTACGAGTCAAAGTACGACCCTCTCTCAGTATCATATACTGTCTTGTCAGGTAAGAACGGGTTTATGGAATTCTCGTTTTAGTAACACGTAGGTTTTACTGATTACTCAGAACTCATTCATTATGAATGCATAAAGAGATAACTTATACGAGAGTCATTTCATTAGTAGAGGAAGGCGATCATTTTAAGTATTAGCCCCCTGGAAGTCGTTTAATGTTTTTGCTACTGATTATCCCATGTAGAAAAAGCTCTCAATTTGGCGTCGTCAGTTTTATTCAGTCCTTTTTTTCTCCTGCTAAGCGCATCGGCCCCACAAGTAGTTGGGATGATGTTTGTGAAGCTGCCTCGTCCCCCGTCGCTCGCGTTGCTTGCGTCCATTTCTCACGCCTTTTTTATTGTTCCGTTCTCCCTACTAAGCCTTAATTTTAGGAAAGCCTGTTGATAAAGCACTCTTTAAGGAACCAAATGTGTGGGGATTTCTAAACTGCACAGTCGTTTTATATCTTTATCACAGATATTTGCCAGCCAAGATGGAGTTATTTTGGTGGCTACTGTTACTTCACAAGTCGTGCATGCGCCTCGTGGCTGACCGCTGAGTCAAACTGTTCTACGATGAGTTCCAATTTGGTAACAGTTCACAATCAAGAAGAAAATGTCTACATTCAACACCGTCACAACGGAGAGAGGTCTTGGATTGGACTCAATGACCGAAGTGTGGAGGGCTCCTTTGTGTGGACAAAAAAAGAAATGAGCAAATTTAGGTTCTGGGCTCCACAGCAACCGAACGACTGGAGAAACGAAGACTGTGTTCACACTCTTGGCGCCAAGCATGGTTACACTTGGAATGATGTGCCATGTACTAACTGTTACAACTACACTTGTTTTAAAGGTAATAAGCGTAGCACTATGAGGATTTATAACCGTATATATCTTAATCTTCACGTTCCAGATAGTGAAGCTACTGAGTTAAAACTACATGCAAAAAGGTCGAAACACAATTACAGCATAATAGGCAGATGGTTAGACAGATTCCTTGAAAAGGAAGAGAGGGTTACACCAATCAGTTTCATTGTTAGAAAAATAGGGAAACAAGTCGTATGCATTTGCATTAAAAAAATGTCCATTGACCTAAAAATGGCCGCAAAAGCCTGAAATCGGCGTAATCAAACGAAGAACGAGAAAGCGTTCATACGTTGGAACCAGGGGAAAAGTCGTGCCAACCTCCGCTTACCTTTTAACCCACTTTTCTAAACACCTCTTTGCAAATTATTAACGAACATAAGTACATACGTTAACTCAGGGCACGCTTACGAGCCTTTTTGCAACTTCCTTTTTTCAAACAGTTTTTTTTTGCCTTGCCAGTATACGTCAATTACCCAACTACACCTCAGTATATTCTTTTTAAACAAGCTTCATTAACTAAAAAAAGTCATGTTGTTTGACAAGAAGCCTCTGTGTGCTTTCTTTTTAGACTTGGATGAATGTACCACTGGTTCCCATTCCTGTGACGTAAATTCCATATGCCAGAATACCGTGGGTTCATACAAATGCTCGTGTAATGCTGGGTACACAGGAGATGGAAAACCTTGCAACGGTATTTGAGATACAGTTGATCCTCCATGTGCGACCACCTCTCCTAAGAGAACCATAAGTCGACATGGAACTACACATATCGTAACTTTGAAATTGCAAACAATAAGTTGTTTTTCAAAGAGACGACCTCTTATTTTTTTATTTTTGTAAAACGACATTATTTTTGTAAGCGACTCTAATCTGAAGGTTCTTAAACAAGACGACGAAACCTTGAAGGTGCAATGCTTGTGTGCAAAAGCTCGACACTGTCATGTCATTTTGGAAAAAAGCATAAAACCATATTTGTTAAAACATAAAAACATCAAACAAACAAGAAGAAAGAAAAAATGGATACATTTACCTTAGCTACCAGATGTAAACCATCAGGTAGATTTAATATTAGTTATTCTAACGCGCTTTACGTAACTTACAATTCTCATGCAGATATCGACGAGTGTTCTACCCACTCTCACAGCTGTGGCGTTAATGCGGTTTGCAGTAATACTGTTGGATCTTACGCATGCGCATGTAAAGCAGGATTCACAGGCGATGGAAAAACATGCTCTGGTAAGCTGTTGCCGTGTTGTAAAACACGCTTGCAAAACGATGTGCGCGCCTGTATTTTCTAACGGCGGACGTACAACCTAAATGGTTCCAAATAATTATTAAGTAAAACTAGAAATATGTATCTGGCAAAATTCCACTAAACTCGGTCTTGCACAATTGTCAAGCCCAGCCGGTTAGAAACTGATTAGGTGACCAGGCTCTAATCTGTCGTTAGACCTGTGACTCCTTTCTCTCCTGTCTTCTTTTTTGTTTCATTATCCTATTTAATTTATAAATGCGTATTTTAAAGCGTATTTAGCATTTTTTTGGCTAAACCTCAAATCAAAGATAGATTTTGGGGACGTTCAAGGTTTTTTCCGTAAAACCCAAACTGAAACGCACGTCCAACAAACATATCTTAACGAAATTGATTTATAGTATGCCAATTTAGCAAAAAGGGTACTTTGCTTTTATATTTAATAAAAATTCGCATTGAATCGTTATGCATTTCAGAAAGGAAATTTACTCCCTCGAATACTCCCTCTTACTATAGCTCGTTCTGCTATACAGCTAAGAGGAAGTCTCACCTATAAGCTATCTTGAGACGTCCTCGCCTTTTGAGATTCTTTTCTTTCGAATTGTGTTTATTACGTGTAGTTTAATGTTTCCCCCTCCGTTTATATGTAAAAAAGGCAAAAAAATCGGATTACCTATAGTAGTTAAGCAGGGTTAACGCATAAAGAAAATGAGAGTAAATGACCTTCCAGAGGTTGCTGCATCACTAAACAAGAAGGCTTCCTCACTTTTTTCGCCAGATGTCGACGAGTGCTCTACCAACTCTCACAGCTGTGACGTTAATGCGGTGTGTAGTAATACTGTTGGATCTTACGCATGCGCATGTACAGCAGGATTCACAGGGGATGGATTCACATGCACTGGTGAACTGTTTCAGTTTAATTTCGTTTGCATGATATGTTCGGTTTTAGATTGAACAGCAACAACAGCAATGCAAGAGTCTTTTGTGCTCTTCTCGCTTTTTACAGTTAAAGTTTTGGTTTGGCAAGAGTTTAAATTAATTTTAGTACTGACTGTATGTAGTAAACAAATAGAAAAGCGGAGCCAAACATCCAGTTGATATCATTGGATACGTGGAACGATGATTGTTCAAACCTGCGATCATTTTTTTAGGCGTAATAGTATACACTAAAAAAACTACTCAATTCTGATTGGCTGAGAAAGGAGTGGAGTTCTTCTGTTACACGAGTGCAAATTTGTAACACGAGTGCAGATTACAAATGGTTTCTGATTGGTTGAAAACAAAAAAGAAACCACCAAGAACCAATCAGATTAGAGCTGTTTTAACAACAAAATTTAAGAAAATGGTCATTCACGATGGTCAGAAATGGGTGTTTTTCCTCCCACATTGCTCATTAGAGACACATAGATGATTATGAAAAATTCCGAATGAGACGAAACTTAGCAGGAACATAGTAAAAGAAAGTCCACATGTATTGATGGTAGTTCTATACTTTTGATTGACAGCATGACGTCATAAGTGACGTTGAAATATGGCGATAAAATTTGGAATTAATTATTTGACTTAAATAACTTTATAAATAAAATCTATTAACAAAACTGAGCGTTCTGGTGAAAACTCCACTTAAATCCGTTAAATTGTTGCAAAGTTAGAGCTAATTAAAGAAATTCAAATTTCCCGCCAAATGTATGGAATTAACCATATATGGTCAAACGTTAGGGGTATTTAAACTCCAGCTTATTAAACGAAATAGTAAGGAAACTAAGCGAACCATGTATAAAAGCAAATTTGTATTTTTTTGAATTTGGGACATGGGGTGTCAGGTTGCATGTTACGTCACTTCATACCATGTTGACGTCATATTTACGTGTTGATGAAGTCACAAGTGAAAATACCTATAGAGTCCCAAATTCAAAAAACTATAAATTTTCTCCCGTGTGTTATCCGCTATTTTTCTTTTAACTTCCATTTATTGTCTTGAACTGGAAACCTCCCTAAAGTTTTACCATATAAGGTAATAAAACAATTAAATTCTGTAAATTCCGTCTTTTATTGTGAGTCACAAAATAGCTTGTAACTTTGTCCCGTTTTAATGGATTTTAACGGGGTTTTCACTGGAAAGCTTCACTCTGATCACAGAACACCTCTATGTGCTTTTTTCTGACGATTTTCTTAATTCTAAATTTTGGCACCAAATTTGGAAACCATTTGTGACGTCACAATGTCCATCAAGACCGTCAAACTGTCACCAAAAAATGTAGAATTTCTCAGGCAACAATCCTGCCAAGTTTCATGCCACTTGGAAAATTCGTCACGTCTCTGTGACCTATGTGGGAGGAAAAACACCTATTTCTGACCATCGTGATTGTTTTCAGCAAACAACGATTTGATTTCATGTACGCAAAACAATAATAGAAAAGTTAAAAAAAATATCCAAAAACTCAAACAAGGGGAAAAAGAACGTCTTTCTGGCTAAATGTATTGAAAATGTGGTGCTAAGAGAAAAACACTGTCGACAAAATCGAGGAAAATGAGCCTGAGAAACTAAACAAGCTCCTTATAACAGAATACGCTAAAGTGGAAAATAAAGAACAAAAACGGTGGTAGCCACACGCAAGCCATGACAGCTACACTTCTCAGGCATTTAAATGAAGATGATAACATGATAACAACAAGGACTTCAAGTCACGTCATTCTTTGTTGGGGGAGAAAGGTGTCCAGTTGCTCTCTTTAAGTCTTTTGTAGAGCAAAGACCTCTATTAAAACATCTATGCGATGGTCTGTTTCTTTCTACCTCAGTAGCAAACTAAACCGAAAATTTAAACATCTGGTTCAAACTAAACCAATGTGCGAAAATACCATAACTAACATAATGAAAGTATCTGCAGCTGGTAGTACTAGCCTTAACGAAAGTGACAAAAAAGTTTACGAATCATAGTGCAAGGAAAACAACAGTCAGCAAACTGAAGAAAGCAAACCTTACATATTGTAAGTTCCGAATATATCGCCACTGTCACAGGCCACAGAGGTATAAATTTCCTCAACGACTACGCTGAAGCCGACGAAGAAGGGCGACGATGACTCGATCTCTCTTGCAATATATCCAAATGAATAATAAAAACCCCAGCGCTGAGAAAAAGCAAATGTTATATCTAATACTGGCGGTAGTTTCCGGCATCACAACAACTGTGGCTCCACTCACCCATTGCTGGCATCGTCGAAAGAAAACAAATTTCCTCCTCCATTTTCGGGTTTTAATTCTCAAAAATTAGGATAGGGTCTTAGTCTCTTAGGAAAAGACTATCGGATATGATGAACAGAAGTTAAAAACTGAGCAAGTGTCTTTCATCTTTGGCTGCTCGAATTGTTCTCCTGATTTCAAAACGGCAGTATACTTATGACTTGTAAACGCCAAGCTCTCATAATCGAGGATAAATTTAAAAACACTTGCTTTAATTTGCTGATTATTCCGTGAACGGAATGAATCATAGAATGAAAAGAATATGACGTGAACTGCTTAAACTGCAATAACCACTGCCACGATCATGTCGTTGTTAATTTGCAATTGATTAAATTGCAATTACAGTCGAACCCCGCTATTTCGAACTCGGTTTATTCGAAGTCCCCGCCATTTCGAAGGAAGATCGGATTCCCTTGGATTTACCCTTATGTTTTCAGTCATTTACTATCAGCTATTTCGAACTCGGTTATTTCGAATTCCCCGCTATTTCGAACTCATCGTTCCTTCCCTACACCTTAAATCAACCCCGTTATTTCGAACTTGTCAAGAACGGAGTACGTACATAAGAGCACAGCTGGAAACGTATTGCATTTTACTTGAATTCGTGTTGCTCAAAACAAAAGAACATTTAAAGATTTTTCAATGCAACAGCACCTGCTGATTTATCCGACATATAATTACTGTATTTTTATTTAATCAGTGTCTTTCTTCATACTGTACTGTATTTTATTAAAAGATGATTCATTGTTACGAATTTTACGCTTCCCCGGTTATCTCGAAACCCCACTATTTCGAACTTTTTTCCATTTCCACTAAGACTTCGAAATAGCGGGGTCCAACTGTACCATGCACTGCGATGATCATATAATTATATCTTCATTTAAATTTGTATTTCCGCAGTTCACATCATCTTAAGTTTATTCTACGACAGATCAAGTATCTGTAATTATTATATATGTAATAAAATTTATCATCAACGTAATATGACCAGTAAATATTATCTGTTGAAAATTACTGGCAATTTGACTGGTGGGACAATTTTTCTCACAAGTAAGAATTATCGTATAACCAATCACAGGCCGCAGACGAAAATCTTCACTAATAAAAACATCGTATCGGTTTTCCCGCCTTTCACTGTCCGCTTTCACTAATATAGTTACGTCCTCTTCGGGCACTTCAAGGATCACTCGAGGAATTTCCCGAAGGACAAAAAAGGAAAACACCAGAAAGAAAACTGAGCAGAATATGGCTCTATTTAAGGAATTTCTAATGATAAAAGGCGAGTCCAGTGTTATTAGAAGAAATTTCCGAGACGAATTTATCATACATTAGCGAATGAGAAGACAACGAAGATTATAAGCTCAGTTCATGGTATGATGTGATTACCAGATTTGAAAGGTATTCGAAGAGAAAAATCACGACAACAGCTTTATAAAAGACGTCGAGTTTGAAAAATCAGGAATGGCCTTTTGGTCAAAACAAAACGGACATGAAAGCGCAAGGCACAGTCAACAAGCGGTGTCACTTTTCTCGGGCGCTGTAATTCAAGGAATCCAATTCAGAACTGAATCAATCAGCTTGAATCAATCCATAAGTTAGCAGTCCAAGAATCTTCTCCAAAGAGGCACAGACCATTTAAAGTATTAGATTCTGACTCTGATTAGTTGAATTACAAATCCATAAACATACGGCTTAATTTAAGCTTTTTCCTTGAAACTTTGTACATGTTTGTACTTGGTACGTTTTTACGGTTCTGAACGTGTTTAAACATTCTCACTGAACGTTCAAACTTGTAGCATTATGTGAGATATACCTTTTAAATATCTAGTTTTTACTTTTTCTTGGAGTTATCGAAAACAAATTTAAACATTTCAAAAACTGTTGAATCCTACAATGTTGATTAAGTAGTAAATATAATTATCGCTCCGCAATCTTTGTGTTTGTAGTGATTTTATCTCGCGATTGATAGTGTAAAAGTAAAACTTTGTTACATCTATCAGTACAAATAAACTAAACAAATTACTTCCTGTTTGGTTCCTTTGTACGATCTTTATTCACTGGTTTTGAAGAATCACTTACTCGCCCGTATCCCGCTCTTTCGTTTGTGATTCTCCACAACTCGTGAATATCTATTTCTTATATTTCGAGTAATTTTATGTTCTCAGATGTCGACGAGTGTTCTACCAACGATCATAGCTGTGACGTCAACGCGGTCTGTGCCAATACTGTGGGATCGTACGCATGCGCGTGTAAAGCAGGATACACAGGAGATGGGAGGACTTGCAATGGTACCTTTGTTTGTTTCAAAAATGAGTCATTGTACAGCAATTGCTAAGCCCTAAGCCGAGCTACATAAAACCTACACTTAAGTAGTACTGTTTCAAAGATCTTAATGTCGATTGATTGATATTCTTGTGTATCTTAGCATTGAAATTTGTTATTGAGAGAGATATGCAAAGAACTCATTTAATGTTAGAAATGAGTTATATGTAAAAAGAAGCTCAAGAGCCTGCATATACCTGGCCGTCGTGTGAAACATGTCTCAAGTTTATCTGGTTTTAAACCCACTATCCTCCATCTGTTTATATGCTGCATCAATCGCTGGACTTAGTTTCCAATAAGCATCTAATAGCTTTTTTTATGAATGCCGAAAACTGAATGTTTTTAATGTTCTTCCGTTATAAAAATAATGCTCTTAAAAATAGACACAATGCATCTAAATACTAAAATCAACTCTTACATGAAGCCTTGAAAACGTCAAAACCGTTTGATACGGTCGTCACTTGATTCCATCCACCAAACTGACATCCTCCTCTCACAAGACATTTCACTTTTCTTATATGAAATTTCTTGATGAAATGTTCATAAAAGTCACAGTGTCTTCAATTTTTAAGCAAAAAAACCAATTCAGGATAGAATGAGTAGGATCCGAACTCGGAGCATCCGATCTGGAGTGCATCACTCTAACCCCTACACCACCAAGGATTGGTGAGGAATTCATTTTTGATTTAAATATATAACCCTAACCCTAACCCTAACCCTAACCCTAACCCTAACCTAACCCTAACCCTAACCCTACTTTGTGTACGAATCATTAATGTGTCAACGTCAGTTTGGCGGATGGAATTAAGTGTAGGCCGTTTGATACATCAGCGCCCTGAATCTCCATTCGCAGATGTCGATGAATGCACCAGCGGTTTACACAGCTGTCACAAGTTCGCTTCATGTACGAACACCATTGGGTCCTACAGCTGTTCATGTCAACAGCATTTCAATGGAGACGGTAAAAACTGCCAGCACCCTGTGAGCGGTGAGTATAGTTTTCATTGGTCTGGGTTAGTTTAAAAAGTTAAAAGAAATTCAGTGAAAGGGGAGCCCACTTAAAGCGTTTTTGTTCCTCGCATACTCCATTAAAAACAAGGACATTGGGTGTGGTTATAGGGCGCAAATTAACCCTTCACTGAGACGGGGGAGGGGGCAAATAGCACATAAGAGCTATTCTAGACATCAAATTCCCTCAGGCACCCTTAATTGTCTATTTCCTTGCAACATTCCTTCCAACGATATAAATTTTTTTTCCAAATCTCCCAGCCAGCAGAAATTGGCCTGAAGAACAAATATTTTGAGGAACAGGTTTATTGGGTGCCCCTGATCATGTAAATCTCTCTGGGATGGGACAAAGTTAATTCGATTCACAGAGTCTGCATCGTCCAATATCGTATTGTATTCTCGTTTCATTTGGCTAAACGAATCAATCGCCCTGATCCGGGCTGAGACAGAAATGTACGATATTGTCCGCTTTTCGGGAACGGGCTTTTAGGAGTCAAATAAATTGGGCGAGAGCAAAATTCCAGGTGAACTTTGACCCGGGCCAAGACCTCGTTTATTTCTGGTGTGAAAAGAGAGTCTATGCTGATGTTTTTTTTTTTTTTTTTTTTTTTTTTTTTTTTTTTTGATGTTCTATGATGATATTTTGCTTGTAATTTCCGGTCATTATTTCACTTCATGTATATTTCTGTAAATTCTTGATATCTCAATAAACCTGATGAAGACTGGTATTGGCCAGTCGAAATATCGCAGCTTAACTCTATTTCACGTTGTTTGATCAGTCCTTGCAAAAGTCTTCTTGACTGTAACGTTTTCAATTTTATATATTTTGACTGATCACGATCTTATTGGATCCGACGTTGAGCAAGATTGTTCGTACACGGCTTTTGCAGTGTTTTTTTCTTTTTTTTTTTTACCTTAGCTAAACATTTTGCTTGTGTTGAACGTGAGACGATTATTCGTGGTTGTGGATCAGAGGGTGCTAATGGGGGTACCCAATTCTCAGTTAACCACTAATTTTTCAGCCAAATATCAGTTAACTAATATTTTTTGGGCCAATTCTCAGTTAACTACTGATTTCGGTTAGCTATTAACTTTCACTTTCCTACAGCGAATATTATTCCGTCATAACCCGAATTTTCTAAAATCAAGCTATATTTTTACATGAATTTACATAAACTCCGCCACTACTACAATTTATAAGTAACTAAAAATATAGAAAAGAGCATACAATTATCTAACCGAAGTAGTAAAAATGGGTCAGCAATAGCTATTAAGACCCCTATTAAAAATAGATTAAGTCGTATAGCCATCAATATGACACCAGCCTCATAGATCGAGACGCACCAGTCATGATCTCGTACTGATCTTCCCGACCTGGTCATGCATGTCCTCCCATAAACTACTTCAAAATTACCTTCTTTGTCACTTTCGTTATCTGAAACAATCTCTTGTACTTATCCGGTTGCTGTATGCCCTGTGTCTTGTTGGGTCCTTGTTGCTGGCCTAAGTTTCAATCCATTTTCAATCCTTCAATCCATTGCAACAGACGACGGGAAAAAATCAATGCCAAAATATACTCTTAAATAACGAAACTGGCAGGACCATTATTTTTGGAATTCAGTTGATGAAAAAAAAAAGTTTTAGCTTTTTAAAAAGATAGCACATAGCATGACATAGTACCGTGACGCTGGTGGTAAAAATCCTACTTTAGTTATCTTGAGTTGGTTCGCTTCTTATGATTCGTTGTCAAACAGGGCGAAAGTTCTCTATCCAGTCCCTTATCACAACTTTAGCTTCTTTTGGTACTGTTTGCACCGATGGGAGAGACATAGTTGACAGTGCTGACAGAGGCATAAAAGTATTTAACAAGGGACAATTCGATTTTTCTTGACTGCAGTCCTTCGAATTTGTAGTTCTTTTGAAGCGATTCCTTCATTGTGGTTCCAAAGTCTTGGGCGTAGTTTAAAGCACTAAATGTTTTGTGTTGAAGTGAGAAACCGCGTGTAGGTTTTCCACCTGTGTTGTCAAAAGTTTTTTGTACCTCGATACAGACTTTGTCGACATTCTCTTTCGCGTCCCTGTGTTACCTTTTTTCACAGACGTACCTTTTTCGCGCGTATTTCAAAAGCGTCATAAAGATATCCAAGGGTTTTAATAAATGAACCTGTTTCAGAAAGATAGGTTTAAACACGATCTTAATAGTCTCGATAGTTAGAACTGCAACATCAGTTACAACAATGATTTGTCGTAAATACAAATCACATGTACTTTAAAGAAAGATGTTGATTTCTTTGCGCCATCAAAAGATCTAATGCTTAGAGTTGGCTTTTTTCTTTGGGTGCGGTAATGTTTAACTTGACGATCTTTTTGGTCCGTGAAAACAGTTCTTTCCTTTTACGAACACAATAATCTTGTTCGTTGAGTTGTCTACAACCAGCTGCTCTATGACTGACGCTTTCTGTTTGCCGGGTACTGCCCTGGTGCCTTTTGCGCATACTAGTATGCGTTTAACACTGGTCAAAAAGTGTTGGGGGAAGCGGAGCATTTGGAAATGTGGTTGATAAAAAACACATGGCCCACCCCCTCCCTTCGGTGCAAAAATGACTACCCACCCCTAAAGCAAGGTTGGAAATTCCATGACCCACCCCCTTGTTAATACATGGATGTTTGGTTTCCTCTTAGGGACGGACCATTAGAAAAGTGATGGGGGGGGGTGGGGAATTTTCAACTTGCACGAATTTTTTTTTCACTCACTGCTAGTGCAGGAATTTTTTTTTTCATGTGAACCCCTCTGCACGAATTTTTTTTTTTTCAGACAAATATTTGAACAGTGAAATCTTGATTCATTATCTATATTTTTGTGCTTTATAAATTATTCTACACTCACAACAGATCAAAGGATACAGGCCACTTTAATGCAAAATCTTTTCGAAAATGTACACACAGTGAGAGAGGAGGAAGCCACTTGGAGTGGAGGGCTTCCCTGTGCATTTTTTCAGTCCGTGCCCACTGGAATTCCTCTCCCACAGTCCATCACAATGATGCCGTACTCCATTCAACAATGAAAACCATACTTTGTGTTTCTTAACTTTTGTTAAAAGTACCGGTGGCAGTGTTGCTGTTTATGTCGTGGACAGTTAAAGTTTTAACACTTAGGGACTGTGCAATAATTATCAGGAGAGGGGGGGGGGGGGCTGAAAAACTAGAGTTATCTAGCAAAAACTTAGACAGTACCCCCTCCAAAACAAAAAAAAGTAGTTCTAACTCCCCTCTGTTATGTTAAAAATAACGTCGCACCTCCCCTCCCACCACCCACCCACCCACACACACACACCCACACCTCACCGCCACCCTTACCACAGATGTCTTTAAGTAAATACCCTTTATATTGTCATGCGACTGTAAGCGTACGTCGTCTGGAAACACTGGTAAACTCAAAACTGGACTGAGCTGCCATTACAGCTTCAATAATGACAAACGTTATTATGTAACATCTAGTATCGAGAAGGATGTCGATCGCTTGATTGAACATTTAGACAAAGCATTTGCTAAGTACCGGGGTGCTTACCACATTGGCTCAAAATCTAAAACTTCTGAAGCCAGAAAGAGAAAGGAGCAGAGAAAAAAAATCAAAGAACAGGAGATTGAACGCTTCAAATAACAGACGAAAAAGAGCTTGCATTATATTTAGATCCTTGGGAGGAGAGCCTGTTGAACTTTGTTATGAGCCAGATATATATGGAATTCAGCAAATCGATTCAGTCGATGAAGAAACATTACTTTTATTCACATCAAAAACCGACAAAGCTTGTCTACGAGATCTGTTTGATTCCCATTGTTTTACGGGGGAAGCTGAAAAACAAGTTCACGATTTTTGCTTTACATAGAATCAGCTCAATTAAGAGCAATTGTCTGTAAGATCCAAACTATATTGAAAAGTCGCTGCCACGCTATCTCACCGAATTGGCTGAAAATTAGCATGTAAAGTTGGTTTTGGGTCTTAAATAAGAAATGAATATTTTTAGGTTCTAAATCTTCTTACTTTGAAAATTACCAACATGACCGTTTTGGGGAACCTTCGGCCCCGCGCCATATTGGTTAAATCGAAGGAGGTTTTACGAATCCAACTACAAGCCTGTCTTTAAGGCGATTCTATCACTGATGAGATACATGTCAAAAACTATCCTTCCTTATTATAATTTTGAAGTTTACTCCGTACATAGCAGAGTTTTCGCCAAGACTGGCTCAACTTTCGGTCGTGCACACTTTTTGCATAATTTATGCTCTCAAAATTACCAACAATCCAAAGGCGTATATCTCCCTTGCCACACAGGATTGAAACTTGCTGCTTTGCCTAAATGCTGACTGTTTGTAGCCAAATCGAATTCGTTAATAAAAAAATTGGGTAAATGCAACGCGACGGAAAGAAATTTATTAAATGGGCAGCATGTTCTAGTCGCTTTGCTAATTAAATTACACACAAATGCTCACTGATGTTGCCAAAAATAGTGATAAATAAAAGAATTTCAGTCCGAATCTGAGTAAAAAGTAGATCAAAAATGGCCTCTTTAATGGCAGTGTCAGAAACACTGCAAAAAGGCGGATTTTGTTAGCGGAATGGTAAACTATAAATATAAATGTGTTGCTTGTGCATTTACGGGTACCGTCCCCACGTGGGAAGTAAATCGTAATTTTCCCAAAACTAAAACTTTTGAAAGATATCACAAAGGAGAAAAATTGAAACAAAATATATAAAGATGTACAATTTCCGCATTCAGAGATATCTCAAAACGGCATTTTCTCTGCGAAACGTCGGTAGTCACGTTCAAATGAGTTTTGCATGGCGTTAAACTCCTGCTTTCGAGCAGCCGGAACAACAACACCTAACAACAACTGCTCGCAATTATCATGCTCAAATCAAAACCAGATAATTAGTTTTTGAAGATACTAAAGCTAAATAAAACCACTTACCTTGTGGTGTGAGATGGGAATCAACTTTCCTTTAACTCTACACTTCCTTTCCTATATTCTTGACGCTCCCGCTCCAAGAAATGAGCATCACTATTCGGGGTCTGAAATGAACATCACTATTTCCGGTTTTCACACATTGGGCGTGGCAAAGGTACAATTCTTTTGATCGTTCAACCCAAATCGTGGCTCGAAGTTTCTTATGAAAATGTATGGATGGTAGCCTCATTCCTAACAAGTGGTTACTGCCATTACTTTCTAATTTTTCACCCTGAAATAGTCTGTTCCAGGCGTTCAGATTAGACGGACGACACAGAGATGTAAGGACAAAAATCAGCCAAGGGCGCCCCTTTCACTGAACGCCTGGACCTTGCTACACACCTAAAGCTAAAGCTATGTTCACACTAGATACCTTTTGCGCCGACATGATAAAAATATGGATAGGAATTTTGCTCACGCATTAGAACGGTGGTTTCAGCGCGATTTCTGTAACGGAGCGAAGCGCTTTGCTGCGCCAAATTATAAAGTGGAGTGTCACATATCGGATAGGTATTCATACTTTTCCAGAGTTTTCAGCTTTTCGCGTCCGGTGAAGAGATACTCGTTATAGTGTGAACATAAATAGCCTAAGAAAAGCACAGACAAGACAGCACGAACCGATTCTCGGCAGGGCCTTCTCACCAGTCTCCCCTCAACTAACCTTTTTTTTTTTCGCTTTTTTCCTCGCGAGATTAAGGATTATTAAAAATGGATTCAAGGTAGCCTATGGGGGCTCTGGTTTAAAGTGCTGGCTTTCATTCATTCAAAGAATGAATCAATAATCGTTCATATTCCTAGGTTCAAAAAGTTAAAAATTTTTGAATAACTTTTCGAAGGGTTTTAATGTATGAAAATTGAGGGAGGGGGTGTTAAACATTTCGGGAAAATTGGAAAATACTGGATTTGAGGGTTGTTGAGATATGAAGTGAATAATAAGAAGACAAATGCCAGATAGCCCACCACTACAACAAGGTGCCTCTGAGCCTATTAGAGAACTAACTTGCAAATGTATATACCTTTATCACCCCCTACCCCCCCCCCCCCGAAAAAAAAAAAAAAAAAAAAAACAGGAGTACTCCCTTAAGTTCAAACTTATTGTAACCTCATTGTACAACTTACATGTAAAGGGACTGCTATGCTTTGACTTAATCACATTTGTGGAGATTTGATACAATTTGTCATTCAAGAGGACCAACACAAGCAATTCTTAACTAATTTGGTCAAAGCATCTACAGAGGGGGCTTTCTTCCGTTCCTCAGGAAGATTCAGCTCAAAAGCGCTACAGATTTCCTTCAGCTTCGGTAATGTGAGTTTCTTTAGTTTCCCTGAAGCTACAAGATCACACAAGGGCAACCTCTTTACGTACTTCTAAAGCTTCACACATGTCGTTAGAGTCCTTTACGTTTAGCCACAGTTCACAGGGACAATTTGGTGACAGTACTCGCAAAACAGCAACCATAACTTGGCATGCTTCAGCTATGTTTCTTCTTCTTGTTCTTTCTGCTGCTGCTGGTGATCCCATGTCTACCTTACGAACTGGAGCTAAGCCAGAACTTTTAAGAAATTCGTTCAACTGAGTTTTTCTAAATTCTACCACATGCGATCTGATCGCATCTGCAACTAGACTTACTCTTTCTTTTTCGACTTTTTGTAACTTTCTTCTCTCAGCTTCTATGGGTGAAAGAACCTGCAAATTTAATTAATAAGTTGTTTTAGTTTTAAAAATTTTAATCATTGGTAACCAGGGGAGAAAGGCTAAAATTTTCTCAATTTTCAACTCGTTAAAGTCAGTTGCTTTTCAAATTGGTAAGATGTAGCTCGTATAGAAACAGATACCGAAAAAACAAATGTAGCTTACCAGGGAGTTGCCTTTATATCCACAATCGGTCCCACTAGTGTCTCCACAACAAACATCATTATCACCACTATTTCAGCCACTATCACCATTATCATCCCGACCACTAACAGTGTCATTTGGAGCGGCTAGAGTGCAAACATAATCACAGCCGTCATCTTCCTGATTATTAATATCAACGCTAACGTCTCTCTCATCACAAACGTTATTGCAACCAAAATCATCATCACTACACGAACAATCGTTGCTACCACTATCACCAACGCCACCGGGCACTTGAACTTTGCAGATGTCATCGCCTTTACTACAACTATAAAGGCTACCCTCAATGCTATTGCAATCCCCATGGAATTTAGAAAGATCCCTAACGCCGTCATCAACATTAGCATCACTATAAATTCCTTCACATTCCTTTCTATCACAATCGTCGATGCTTAAATCAGAGCACTGTTTCGTTGCATGCAAAATGCTTGTTCTCTCTTGGACTTTTTTTGTAGAACTGTCTACTTCACAATTTGTTAGTTTTTCTTCTTGACAGATTTTTTTTTACTTTGTCTCTGCACTGTCGACAAATAGCTAAGAAAAAGAAACAAAAAGCAAATATCAAAATAGGCAAATATAAGCCAGAATTAAACACTTGATCCAAACGTAATAAACGATAACGAAATAACTGCTCGTATCATAATCCTCAGAATTCATGTAATTGGTGTTCGTTGGCCGCGAAAGGTAGAAAAGAGTAGAAGTAACGTACGTAGATGACTGAAGAGGAATCGAACGACAGCGAAACGTAGCAAAGAAAGGACGATTGCTCTAAAGTACCAGACCCTTGGATCGACTTCATGACTTAACAAGATGTTAGAACAGTTACTAAAGCCAGCTAGTATTTCAATGAAGAGGCCAGTTTTATCACAGAAATGTAGCTTTAATCACTGAATAAAGGTGGGTGCCGTTGACGATCGTAATGATCGTAGCGAACTTAAAGTAGTAACTTAGCGTACTTAAAGTATCGTTGACTGGGAATTTTACTTATATTTAGTGATACTTACGTACTCCGATTTGTACTAGTACCCCCAAAACACTGAATATCGATTCTGCTTGTAAAAAGGTGACTCCTCGGTCACCTTTTGGAGGTGGTATACCGGTGTGACCGCTTATGACGCTGGGAATAACACATCGTCTTTTGTTGCACTTCCACCGAGTTCCATACACATCGCGATGCCGGGGACAGATTGTTATTTTCTCAGCTTCTACCTTTGAGGAAAACAAACCTACAAAATATAGTAAAAAGAATATATAAATATATTAACCCACGGAATCCGTCGGTAAAGATTAGGTTGTTCAAAATGGTTTTGCAGATTACTTTTGCAAATTAGAACGAGAAATGCTGATCTGCTGGCGTGCTCTCGGAAAGATTTTTTTGGTTGCCCTCCACCCCTTCCCCCGCCTCCGCCTTCTTCCACCCAATTATTCTTTTTTTCTTACGCTCAAACTTACTGGCTAGGTATGGGTACTACTATACTTTAGGTTGCGTAGTGCCTAGCGCAAACATTGTATACCAGGAATAAGAATCGCAACAAATCCGTCCATACTAAACCGTAGTGTCGCATGGGAGGTACCGGGCAGCCAAAGAGCACCCAAGGCTCTCCAGTCCGGAATAACATTTTTGCCGCTGTGCGCCGATTTTAAAAAGATCAGAACATAAGTCACGTGGCGTTTACCAGAAGAAACTCGTAAAAGTTAGCCTCTAAATATTCCGTAAGACTTGTAAAATCATTTCTTTTTGACAACAGCTACTCCTGGAAAGGTGTGATTTTCCCGCCTAGAATGTTCGCGCCAAATTCCGCTCGCCCCAGGCTAGCTCGACACGTGGCAATTTTGTGCTAACATTTTTCAGTACTGTACTTAACTATATCAAAATAAAATATTCATTCCTTACCTGCTCGCCCCAAAAGTAACTGTATCTCGTCCTTTAGATTTTTATCCACCACTTTCAGTCCTCTTAAATGGGGTTTGATGTTTCTGGAACACTGCTTTAACGTCAAGCACTCGCTTGATGCAATAGTTACTCCACAAGCCACCCCGTTAACAAATTTAGCATACCCACATCTGACCATATTTCTGTTAAGGAATAAACTTGATTAAACATACATTTCACTTGGCTTGTAGTTAATCTCACACCGTTAATGAAAACCCCCGTAAGTGAAATTTCACCGTAACCAGTGGCAGCACTCCCTCGTTGAAAAAAGATGACTTGTGATTTTCTGGAATTCCAGGTTGATGTAAAATAACCGGATTTGTCGAAAATTAAGGTAAATTGAATGTCATTGTTAGAGAAAAAAACAATAATTTACCTTCTTTCCAAACTGAAAGCACGGGAAGAACTGACAGCCCATGAAGACGTTGAAATCTGATAAAGGATGTTCATTCCTGCTTGCGTTCCAGCGTGCATTTCTTTCTCCCAAGATATTATTGTTTCGTCGTGCGCAATAACTTACGGACTTTCATACAGTGCTGATGTTACCATCACGTAAGTTGACTTAACAAGCTGTTTTTTTTTTTTTTTAATCTCATACCTCTTAGCAGAATCCTTTTCACTGATTACGCTTTAAGTCCAGTGGCGGGAAAAATATACTAGAAGGGGCTTAGAAAATTGTTCCTCGTACCGAACACTGTGCAGGAATTTGCATAAAGCTGTATTTATACATTGTTGAGTCTAGTTAGCGTTTGCTAAAATTTTGTAAAGGTTGTGTTACCTTTATTTGCAGACGAAATTGGTTGTTATATGTATTTGACTACAAACAGTATGATATAGCGGGAAATAATGTTGAACTAGTGCGGACATGATGTGACCAATTGAAGCATGACATGACTGCGTGTGAGTGAATCAAACGTGTGTAATATTTATATTCGCAAAATACAGACGCAAAATCGGGAAAGACTCACCATTCTTTTCCATAAAAAGTGAAGTGTTATTTAGCGTTAGATAATAACCTGGACGAGGTAAAATTCATTAAAGAAGTTTTCGAGCAAGATTCACCGATTTGCTTTGTAAATGTCACTGACGGCAAACTCGGGCAATAGCCGGGCAGAAGTCATTGCACATTGATGTTAACATATTTCTTCTCCATGGCATTTGCCCAATTTTTTATTCATCGGTCTAACTTGCCTATAAACAAACTCCATTCAGGTAAAGTGGTTTGTTCTAATTCGATGTGGCATGGGTGATATATAATTTTCAATTTCTACTAAATTTGTCTGCATTCCGAGTACCGAAAATATGTAGTAAGACAATTCAACCGTTCCAACTCATGCTGAACCGTTTTCAATTAAATGTACGTAAATACAAAGTTAAAGGATAGTTCTTTTTAGCTGTACGAGAAATGGACAATTTATTTCTATGCCAAGGCCGAAATAAATGTTTTAAGAACTCCCTAAATCGGCCAATATGGCGGCCCTCCGAAAGCCCCGTCAAACCGTCATTTCTGTATCTTCCAGAGGAAAGAGAATTCAAACCAAAGAATATGCATTCAGTATTTAGGGGACCATTCTAAGACTTCATGCCAAAAATCAGCCAAATCTATGAGATGCCGTGTCAGGCGAAAGTTCGAATCTTACAGAAAATCATTCTTAATTAGAAGACGGGTTAAAATTGATCAGTTGTGAATTTGCTTTTTATTTTGATGGAATAGTTTCAGTAATCCTTTAACAGCTGTTCGTACTGATATTTGTTACAGTCTATCATGATGCCTGTATTGAGAATCTTTTATTGCGTTTAATTTTATTTACATTTCGAATGAGTGATTTTACTTTGAGCCCCCCCCCTCCTGATAATTATTGCACAGTCCCTTACTACTACGTGAGAATGCACTTCTTCATTGTATTATAGAATTCTTATTCAAGGCGGTAAGACCCATCCTCTACAAATAATTTTATAGAATATTTACAAAGCTACCAAATTCTAATATCTATTTATTACAAATTTTATTTTATTATTTTTATTATAATACAGTATACAGTGTATGTTGTAGGTACACTAGCTGCAATTTAAAACAAAAACAAGGCTCTAATTGTCTCCTTTCAATAAGAGGAAAGTGATTTTTGTTTATTCATATTGTGCCTGGTAATATTGTTGATTTCTGAAACTCAGACTTTATGAAAAAGTCACAATTGGACCTTCCTTCTGCATGAATTTTTTTTTCTTTACCTTCTTCTTTGCATGAATTTTTTTTCTTGGCATTTTCCTTTGCATGAATTTTTTTTTGTTTTTTTTTTCCCCCCCCCCATCACTTTTCTAATGGTCCGTCCCTCAATAAAACCTTGTTCTGTGTTTGACAATAAAATTTGTTGATACACTTCTACAACCAATATCAAAATCACAGAAATCATACCTTTCACTGAAAAGACAAATGTGAAACACCGAACATTTCTTGTTTCGATGGACGTTATATGAGTCTTGATCGAGTCTTGACACAAATATACAGAAAAACGAGGGTATATTGAAATTGTCTGTCACAAAGCATATGAAAATTTCTACAAAGACAACTCATTCCCACACGTTACTTGTCGAAAATGCTAGGTTAATCCTCGAAGAAAATTTCTTCCACTTCAAAGGAAAGCACTACTTACAAAACAATGGAACTGCAATGGGCACAAAGACAGCAGTTTTGATTCCTTTGCCAATATTTTCATGACATATATTGAAACAACAACTCTAAGCAAACCTGTCTTTAGAACAACAGTTTGGAAGTGCTACATACACGATATCTTTTCCCTATGGGACATGAGTAAACCAGACATCAAAGCCTTCATTGAAGAAGGAAACTTACATCATCCAACCATTGAATTCGAAACATTTGACACTGATCATGAGACTGCGTTTTTAGACACGGTTGTATACAAAGGCACCAGATTCAAGGAAAAATCTATCCTTGATGCAAAGACACATTTTAAACAGACGGAAACCTTCTTGCACACACATTTCACCTCGTGTAACCCTCCAAATGTTAAAAAAAGGATTTGTCAAAGGAGAAGCCTTGAGAGTCCTATGAAAAGACTCCTCAGAAACAACCTTTTAGGAAAATAATTCAAATTAAAGAAAGAAAAAAAACGCTTGATGGGCGGAGGCTACCAACAATCTTTGATAGAAAACCTACTATCAGAAATAAAATTCACAAAAGGGAGTCTAAGCTCCTAAAAAGAAACAACAAGGAGAAAAAAGAAATATTGCCATTCGTGACACAATACCAGCCCTCCAGTCTTCAGTATGAGGAAAAATACGAGTTAAAATGACTGGAAGATCTAATGTGAATACTATAAATAAACATATTAAAATACTAAAAAACTTATTCACCAAAATGTCGAAGTTTTTTAACTGAGAAATCACCAGACTAATCCAATTTCACTACTGTTTATTCATCGATCCAAGAATAAGTTGGTGAAGTGATTCTTACGTGTACCAGTCTGCCTCAATTACCGGTTTGCAATTCCGCAAAACTTAGTTTATATCAAACTCCCATTATGTCGCGTCGCATCGCAGCTAGATGTAGTGACACTCTCTTCGAACGTTTTCCTTCTTGCACGATTCAGAATAACTGTGGAAATTTCTTTTATTTGGATAGCCGTTTTGCGAAGGCAGGTAGACGCTTAGGGCCTGTTTACATGGAGGTGGGGGTCCCCATGTTAGTGAGGTGACCCGCTTAGATAGGGTAACCCGCCTGTCCATACAATCTCTCATATGGTCACCGCCACTTATTATGTAAACTTGACCAAATTAAAATGAGAGATAATATGGACAGGCGGGTTACCCACCTACACGTGAACAGGTCTTTAAACTGTGTACTTGAGGTTGTACAATGTATTTACATAATTATATCTGACCAACCTTTGTTATTTTGGCTTTTTTTGTTTTCCCATTTTATTATTATTATTTTTTTTTAGTTAAAAAGAGAAAACCGTTATTTAGCAATCCTATTGAAGTGAACTATTTACTAACAGTATGTAAATAGTTCATCAGCCTACCCCATCAAATGGCTTTTCAGCTAACTTTACAATTACAATTTGATACTAAAAGCATAATTATCTATTTAACAATATGTGAAATTTATTGGGAAAAAAAAATGAAATGAGGAAATGACGCTTCTTCACTTCAGCCTTAGGCTGCTCGACATTCTCTATATTACCTAAAGATTCTGCAAAGTCATTCCAGAGGCGGACTGCTCATGGCCGCTGACCGGCAGTGAATCTAAAGGAAGGCAGGCCTCTCTTGTTTCTGTTTCCGATATTACGAGAGTGCGCATCAACCATTTTCTTAAACCTGTTACAGATAAGGGGCGAGGCAAGTCCCTTAACATGTGTTAAATAAACTCGAATTTTTTAAGGCCTGTCAAAAAAACCAAGGCACGCGTTTTATCACTGGTTAAAAAATCTTGCGCTTATTACGCTCGAATGTTAAACCAGTGATAAAACACTGCTGTTCGTGTTTTAAACATTACTAAACACGGAACGCTTTCAGACTACAAAACGATTGTTTTCTCTTTTCCTACATTGAGATACGTACATTACCCTAGAATTAAACACCAAAAACCATTCACCACCATATGACAATCAACTTGAACGAAATGGAATAAGAGTGATAAAAATTAATTTGAAACAGCGTGAATACACTTTTTTGTGGCGTTTTCGCTCCATGCCGTCGCAGTCGTGGTTGCCTAATATACTCCTTATATGGAAAGAGACAGTGACTGATAGGGAGATCGGGTGTTCCAAATATGGAGAATATGGACTCTACGCCTCCGACTGAGTTTAATAAACTCTGGAGGGGCTAAACTGTAACGTCACTGAAATTCGCAGTAGACTGCGAGATTAAAACCGCACCATTTGAAGAGAGAGTACCATGCCACTAGCGCGCAAGCTCAGAGAGAAAAAAATATTTATAGGCGTTTGTTATTTTACGCTTTTCAGCCTGATCATTATGATAACAAGCTTCAAGCGTATCTGACACTTGCGCGAGCTTGTTTTTATAAAGGGTATATCTCCAGGAAGTCTAGTTAAGTCTAGGGGTGCTTACCATTTGACAGAAAAATCCGGTTGGGGTGTCGAAAGCATAATGGTAAGCGATTTGCCAGTATACCATAGAAATGCCTCATCCGTTAAGGTTTAAATCCAAAAAAAGGGCGAATTTGTGTCGCGTGAGTCTCGAACCGAGAAGGAACCGAGAAATTAGTTAATGGTAAGCAACATTCCATTTAGTTCGTACCAACCGGAATGAAAGGACTACATCAAAACGTACTCCTCAATTTTCGGTTGGAATTTTCGAAAAGTGACCTTACCATTTACCTTCCATCCGGAATTTCCCAAATTTTCCGTCAAATGGTTAGCACCCTAGTTCGCTGCTTTCCGTTATGTGCTCTATGAGATCCCTTGACACACACGGATCCGTGCAGAAGAAGAAATGAAATTGCATGAAACTGCAGGTAATGAAAATATCAAACAGGAACAGTTCAGACTTCCTTTTGAGTTCATGGGCATCCTAACTCAGGGGATTTTGAAACTCGACCTTGGTACCAAAGTTCCAAGGCAACCTCATAACAGTTACAAAGGTATAAAGTAAAAGTCTCTTATTACCGACACTACAACGTTTTTATAATCTCTATTTTTTTACAATCTGACTGAGTTAATTCTCGTGCGCTCATTGGCTAATTTATATCGACAATAAGAGGACAGACGTAAAATTTTAATTTCCGCAAGACGAAACACCGTATATAACGGAGAGTTTCTAAAATTTACCTGCTTAATACGGACAGCGTTTAATATGGACAAAGGACACATTTTTGTATCCCGAGGCACAAACTCGCATACATTGTTAACCCCTGCTATTTACAGACACTGTTTATCTGCGCGCTGTCTATTTTCCTTGTAACAATCACGTGCTAAGATTGTACGTTGTTCAGACAATGACAGATTTCATTGGGTTACAAACACAGTGGGATCTTTTAGCTGTTCATGTAATATATCAAACATGAGATGCAGTGTTCCATCACCAGATGAAACACCGAGAAGAGAGTTGAAAATACGACGCGCAGCGGAGTATTTTTGACGAACTTCGAGGTGTTTCATCTGGTGATGAAACACTGTTCGAATGTTTGATATTTCTTCTCAAACAAAATCATTTTTGAAGGAGAAATTAAGGATGCAAATACTAAGCAGTGTTTCATCCGATTTCCAAACACTCATTAAACATTAATTTCCTTTGTATTTTCTTAATGAATTATTAATGAGTTTGAGAAGTAACAATCCTTACACTGGAAATGGCTGAACTTGCAATCTACCATCAAGTAATCAACTCGCCGAATGTTAGGAAGATGTCCATTTACTAGACCTCTAGTATCCCGGCGTAGGGATCGTCGTTACGTCCGGTAGGTTTGTCCTAATACTCATTTCGTGACCTACGTGACTAAACAAGCCTTCAACAAATGTTTGAGCCTCTCACTCTATCTGGATTTTGTCTTGCAACCTCTTATGTTAGGGAATATTTGAAGACCGACAGCGGTCTAGCGATTAACGGACTATGATTCTTATAGACATCACTTCTTTTGACTGCGAGAGCTTTAAGATAATGGTAGTTTCTTGGTGTTGCGGAGACGAAAACTTAGTAAACAATTCGTACAACACAAAACAAAAGCGAACTAACATTAATTAGTTTCTGCAACACCAAGGAACAATGCACCCAAGATAACATATACTAGAGAGTTCAGTACTCCATAGAAAAGTGTAAGAAAACGATTTTTAGTCGCCACCTGAGCAAGTAAGAGGAACTGAAACGTTGCGACAAGGAACCCATTAGTTGCCACATACTGATCAAATGGACTCATGATCAGAAGCCAACTTAAAACCTTGAGCATCATCAAAGGGTTCTAGGTCCAATTTTTTACAAGAGATAAAGAAGCTTCACAATAAGAAACATATGAAAACGGAGCGCTGTAAATCCGTTGCACAAGGCGAATAGTACTGGTGTGCTACATACTTGAAAGGTTTAACTAGCAGAAATCACTTTGTCGTTAGACCCTTCTCTCTAAAATGTGCGCCAGCACAAGCTTGTGCCAGTTTCAATCAAGTTATCATTCAACTTTGCCTCTATACTTATCAGTTTGGGGTTTCGTAACTAAACCGACGCAACGAAGTGAAATAATCTTGTTTCTTCTCTATTATTATTTATTCAAAATATTTCACCGTTTCTGATTGTCTCCATTCCCATCGCTAAATCCTCACAACCAGCACACGGTTACTATATTTGGAAGCCGATGTAGGCAGTACCCAATCGATGGCATGCTCCTCCTCGATCTGCATTATTCTTCGCATCTTACTCAGACTCATTCAATAAATGTTAAATATATGAAATATTTGTGACTCAAGAAGGTTCTCAATAGAAGAGGAAAACTATGAACTCGTTTCCGCCATGTTAAGGCGGGGAGTCGAAAAATCACCCACATTGATCACGTGGAGCGAACCATTACATTATTCACGATATATGCACTATTACTTTCAATCCGGAGAATTGATTTCTCTAATTTTGCCGATCAACTGCGAATGCGGTCAACTTTAATCATGGAGACCCAACTGTTGTCTAACGAAAAGTTCAGAAATAAAGAGTCTCAGAGAATGTTTCCCTAAATCTTAATTTACTAGTTAGTATCTTTTTATCGTTGTTAATATCTTTTTCTTTTAGCATCTTGTGTTTGGATTTTATTTTTGTTCATTCACGGTCACGTTTGAAAGAAATTCAGTTTGTTACATCCGCTTTCCTTTCCCTTACAGCGTATTTTATTTCGCTCTTCCTTCCCTTTACCCTTGTTTACTAATTCTGTTCCAATTTGCTTTACGACCTTTTACCAAAAACGCCAAACGAAGATAAATGCGACTTCAATTATTAATGCATTCGTACCGTGCGCAAGTCACTTTTTTTTACATTAGGAGCTTTTACAATAGAGAGCCACCACGTAAAGGAACGAGAACGTCATAAAAATCATAGATTTAGATTAGCGACTTTGCCAGTTTACCATGCTTTTGAACCTCCTTCAATACTTATTAGTATTCAGTAGGGATATTGTCCAATGGACTTTATGAACTCAGTCTCTTGGGGCGGGGCTTTTAATTCGGTCTGAGGAAAAATACGAGTTAAAATGACTGAAACATTTATTGTAAATACTAATAAACATAAAATGTTATGTACTATCCCCGGTCATCTTAATTTGCAACAAAATTAAAAATTATTTGCGAAAACTTATCCACAGAAATGTCGAAGTTTTTAACTGAGAAATCACCAGACTAATCCCATTTCACGACTGTTTATTCATTGAGCCAAGAATAAGTTGGTGAGGTGAGACGCAAACAATTCTTACATGTACCAGTCACTGACCGGTTTGCAATCCCGCAAAACTTAATTTATATCAATTCCCATTATGTCGCGTCGCATCGCAGTTAGATGTAGTGACACTCTCTTCGAACGTTTTTCCCTCTTGTACGATTCAGAATAACTGTGGAAATTTCTTTAATTTGGATAGCCGTTTTGCGAAGGTAGTAGACGCTTAGGGCCTGTTTACATGGAGGTGGGGGTCCCAGGTAGGTGAGGAGACCCGCTTAGGTAGGGTAACCCGCCTATCTTTACAATCTTTTATATGGTCACCCCCACCAATCATGTAAACTTGATCAAATTAAAATGAGAGAGATTGTATGAACAAGCGGGTTATTATTATTATTGTTGCTATTATTATTATTATTATTATTATGATTATTATTATGATTATGATTATTATTATTATTATTATTATTTTAAATTGAAAGGAGAAAAACGTTATTTAGCAATCCTATTGAAATGAAATATTAAGTAATAGTAATATAGTTTATCGGCCGACCCCATAAAATGGCTTTTCGGTCAATTTTACAATTGCAATTTGATAATGAAATTTATTGGGGAAAAAAAACGAAATAACGCTTCTTCACTTCAGCGTTAAGCTGATTGAGATTCGCTATATTACCTAAAGATTCGGGATAGTCATTCCAGAGGCGGACTACTCATGGCCGCTGACCAGCAGTGAATCGAAAGGAAAGCATGTCTAACTTGTTTCTGTTTCCAATATTACGAGAGTGCACATCGCCCAGTTTCATTAACCTATTATAGAGAAGGGACCTGGCAAGTCCCTTAACATATGTTAAATAAACTCGATTTTTTTAAGGCTTGTCAAAAATCTCAAGGCACACGCGTTTTATCACTGGTTAAAAGATCTCTCGCTTATTACGCTCAAATGTTAAACCCATGATAACACTGATGTTTGTGTTTTAAACATCACTAAACACGGAACGCTTTCAGACTAGAAAACTATTGATTTTCCTTTTCCTTCATTGAGATACATTACCTTAGAATTCAACACCAAAAAACATTCACCAACATTTGACAATTAACTTGAACGAAATAGAATAAGAGTGATAAAAATTAATTTGAAACAGCGTGAATACACTTTTTTGTGGCGTTTTCGCTCCATGCCGTCGCAGTCGTGGTTGCTTAATATGCTCCTTATATGGAAAGAGACCGTGACTGATAGGGAGATCGGGTATGCCAAATATGGAGAATATGGACTCTACGCCTCCGATTGAGTTTATTAAGGTTAGCGTTAGATAACATCGAGTGAAGCCAGATTGGACACCTTATGAATTTTACACAACGCATTATTTCTATAATGGAACGAGACTGGAATGTAGAATGAGGCTGGAATAGCTGAAGAAACCTAAACTACAGAGCGCCAGTTATAGAGAGAACACAGTAGAGAGTTAAGCACTGATCTGCAGTGATTAGGGTTAAGCACTGATCTGAAAAAGGTTGGCTTTCAAATATTACAATGGGGTACGGCATAAATAACAACATGTATATTTTAAAAATTGTTGGGTTTGGCAGCTAGTCCTCGATGATGTAGTGGATATGGATGTAGGCTATAAAGCAAGTGACCCGGGTTCAAAGCATTACAGTGGATTTTTTCTATTTCATTTTATATTGCACAGTAAAGTTGGACTTAAGTTGTTCTTCATGTAATTTTACTGAAAGAAACAATCTGACTTCAGCCGATGTTATTCAATGCTAACCGTTTAATAAACTCTGGAGGGGCTAAACTGTAACGTCACTGAAATTCGGAGTAGACTTATTCCTCGCGCGTTGATTGGATATTTCTATCAATACGAAGAGGACAGACATGAAATTTTTAATTTCTGCAAGACGGAACACCCGCTTAATACGGACACCCGTATATAACGAACAGTTTCTAAAATTTACCCTTTAATACGGACACCGATTAATACGGACACAATGGACACTTTTCTGTGTGTCCTGAGGCACAAACTCTGTCAACCCTGCTATTTACGGGCACTGGCTATCTGCGTACCGTCTATTTTCCTTGTCACAATCACGTGCTATTTGTAGATAATTTACACTGTCCAAACAATGACAGATTTCTGGGTTAAGTAGCAGAATAGCTTGATATGTTTGATTTTATGTCAGTCTTTCTTTCCGTGTACTATATAGCCATTTAATAATTACCACTCAAGTTTCACTTCCTTGGCTTTTCGGCGCAGTCATTGTTCCTACCCTTCTTCCTCTTTGTCTGCCATAGTCTTTATATCAATACAAGATGTTTCCGGGAGGGTTTTGCGGAGAGCCTACTTAATACGGCCATCCGCATGATACGGACACCATGGCATGTCCCCTAATGTGTCCGTATTAACCGGGTTCTACTGTTAGTAGTTTCTTTTTGAAAGGCAAAATGTCTTTTACTGATCCTTTTTCCAAACTTTTAATTTCTTAAAGTAAAAAGAAATTGACGCCAGGTCATAACATTGTCAAATTTTCTAGTAGATTCACTCGCCTGGGGCTCGTGCTCGTGGATCCACAAAACTTCGACAATGTCATGATGCGATTTTATGATCAATAAGAGGACAAAAGATAAAGAAACTAGCCCCAATGTGATGAAATGAACCAATTTTAGTGAATAAAATTATTATTTAACCTACTATTTCCCTACTTCATCGTATGTAGCAGAGATCACTCATCCATTTGCAAGGGCAGATCGAGGCAGCTAAAGAATGCCTACAGATATATATTTGTCTCTCTTTCCCATGTTATTGCTTAACCTCGGTTTGTATATCTACCAGTGTGTGAAAGCCAGTAACCAATCCTCAATTACTCGTATGTAGACGATTACCGCCACAGTGGAGCAGGTGTTGGGGATCTTAGAGGACGTGAAAATTACCCACTTTGAGCCTGTTTGTGTACAGTAGATAAAATTTTTGGAAACAATAAATTACAAAAAAATAGAAAAATATTCAATGATTTTCTAACTTTTTAAAAGTTAAAACATCATTTTTTTTATATATCAGAATGTCAGAATTACGCAAGCCTTAACAGTTATACCAGAAAGATTACGTACTCCAGTGGCAGATATTGTGACCGTGGAATCGGACCTGGTTGGTTTCGTTTCAAGGGGTCCGCCGGCACAAGAATGCCAACTTCATGTCCACCGTATTACAGATGTGGCACAAAATCAACCGGCTGGTTGAGTGGTGGACACCCCACAGTAGCAGACGGTCAGGTCAGCAGGCAGGCGTGTTTTCACTGGAGTAGTAACTGCTGTTACTGGTCAACAAACATCAAAGTGAGAAATTGTGGTTCATATTATGTTTACTATCTTACTGGTACACTTGCTTGTTATTACCGTTATTGTGGTACTGATTAAAAACAAGGCGCAAAGAGAGTACTACATGTAATCTGATGTAATCTTAATTTTCCCCCAAAGTGGCTTTCTTTCTTTCTGGTATTAAAAATAAAGGAGGGAGAAAAAAATTAAGGTAAGATAACATGGTCCGGTTTGCAAGTTTTATAAAGTGTCTTACAAATTAACGTGAGGATAAATAGTCGTACTCTTGAAAATAACCAAAATTAAGCAAACAGTTGTAATGAAACTTACTTGAAAGTCAAACAATGCCTTTGATAAATTAAACGAATGTCACCTTGATATTGTTCGCTACGTTTATTATGCATCATATACCACCCCTTCTAGTGGAGAAGGCTGGTTGGCTCGAGTTTCCAGTACTATTTTTATTGCATTAGGTCTTAGAGATCGCTCTGTGAACTTTGGAGATAGGAATGCTTCTCTGGGGGAATTTAAATTTGAAGGAAATTGATATCCCTAGAAGCTCTAATGATTGAAAATTCTTCCGTAATTTTGGGGCAATTCAGTTCTTGACACATTTATACAGATACCGCTTGTGAGAAGAGATTCGGTAGTTTCCTTAATTTCTACAGAGTACGCTGTTTGTAACATGTGTTACGGAGAGTGGGGGGGGGGGGGCTCTCTCATATATAAGCCATTTAGGTATGTGCCGCCCGAAAGGGTAAGGTCTTTGCGCCGTTTTGGTCTGAAAACGGTTAAAGACTTTACTCACTTTGGTCTGGAATCGAGTATAGTTTTCGAGGGAGCTACGGTGGTGTATGGACATATTTGTCGATTGGTTCTAAATGAATAAGACATAAACCCATAACATGCGAATTGGAAATGGATTTTAAGAAATATATATTTTTTGTTGGCGTTCCCATCTCAGCAATGATGATATAATTTCTGTCTTCGTAAACATGTATGTTGCGTTTTGTGACCGCCTCCAGGTTTGAAAACTGGTATGGATTTTAGAGGTCAGGTCTGAAAACGGGTGTGGAAAATGACATGTTTTGGTCTGAAATAGGATCAGGATTTGGAGAATCGGGCGGCACACCCAACTCCAACTCCCCCGGATTTAATACCAATTTTTCGTTGTTTTTTTTTTTTCCGTTAGCTGTTTGTGGATTTGACATCTTGTAGTTCCTGGGTTACCTTAATATCCTAATCTTCATTATAGTTTTTACTAAACGTTGTTACTAAGAATGTTCTTCGCTGTTTTTGTCACGTCAGTTTTGCGGTGTGTAGCGACCATTTTTTGGAGACTTAAGCATTTCAAAAAGATTTGAAATAAAAGGCTAGCAGAATCAATGATGAGCGTCTCTGTATCTAACAAACACAATACCACATGGAAAATGCTTTGTACGGTATTTCCGGGAACGCTGTTTTTATATCAGAAATCTCACTCTTTCGATTTCTGGAGGAATGTCAACAACTCGTACGAAAACACCGTACGCCCGAACTTTCCATGAAGTATTCTATATGTATAACCTATGTAGCAGGCGCATGGAAGTAGTATGACAGTATGAGGTGCGAGAGGGGGACACAGGAGCGGGGAGAGGGAGCTAACCTCCCCACAGCGATGGTTCAGTTCTGTGCCATAATTTCTGCTCCTTTCCACCTTCGGGCTCACTTCTGAGTCCCACACCTTAATTTTCTGGCTCTTTTGGGAGTAGGTTTTTCAAAGGATACTTTACCTGGGCCCAAGAGGCTCACAAAGCAGGGGCACCCAAAGACTGATTTCTGTGGAGTATTTTTTTTCGGAGAAGCAAATATTGACTAGAATTTTATTACTTGAGGAAAGCTACACAATTCAAGATGACCGTTCCATTCATTTAAAATTTTCGAAGCTTATCTAATAAATTCCCTACGATTTTCTGAAGTTTAATTGTTCACATTTCACTGCCCAGGTTAGGCTGTTTTTCATACAAAAAAAGAAAAGTGACCTTAAATTTTAGGATTAAAAAAATGTGATGCAGAGAGGAATCACAAAAATTTTCACTTGTGTAAGTTAAATTATTGCATCTAAAATTTTCAGGAAAATAATACTGAAACCCTCTGGCAATTTCGAAAGACTTTCAAGTTCCCCCAGGATTACTGAATAGGTACAAATTTTATAGTGCCACTTAGAATTTAATTCTAGAATTAATCTTAAAGTACTCTGGATAGCCTAAGAAGTGCTTTCAACGTAATTGTATTTAAGAGGGTCGTTGGATGCCTCTGATAACGAAACCCAATCACATTTATTATCGGACTTACAAAGATACCCATCGCACATCGTACATGGCTGCGTAAACAGGCCCCCAAAGAAGCCCACTCATAAAAATCGATACCCATGCCAGTCACTGTATAAACAGGCTAATAGCGATGCCCGGTCACTCTTTAATCGAGATCGCGAAGCCCCCACCGCTAACCTCCATGTGGCTCACAAGGATTCGTTGCCGTCTTTTGGATAATTAGCACATAAATTAAAAAGGCGTTAACTCCCCACATGCTAAGCTCACTGTCGATATATTATTTTAGAAAAATAAAACCTGGTCACCCGACGCGTAAGCTCCCCTCGGCAAAGATAATCCCAAAAGATTCTTGAACAAAGTGGCAATTGCCACTTTGTTCAAGAATCGTTTGGGATTATCTTTGCCGAGGGGGCTTACGCGCTAGGTGACCTGGTTTTATTTGTCCAAAATAATATATGACGCCAATAAAAAATAAAGCGAAAGCAAACTGAAAATTATAAAGCAAACCACATCACAAAGGCGGTAGTACATTCCCTGAGTCGTAACAAACACAGGCGAGACTTAGAATGCTGACCCGCAGAAACGGAGAAAAATATATAACAACTCACGCTGTAATAGGCAATGAATACTCTCCTCAAACAGAAAACTGAAGCTTTCACAAATAGCACCAAAAATGTACGAAAGATAAAAACCGTCACTTCTCCTTGGCGTAGAAGTGGAGTTCGAAGGCCTAACACGTAGCTTACAGCATTTTGTGTTAATTCCGGCCAAGACAGCCGCACCTGACTGAGCTCCATTGCCAAGATCTTGTACTGACTGCGGTTTCAAAGGAAGCACAGTCCGCTGCAACGCATCCGACAAAACGGCAGCAGGCCGTGACAGAGCAGAACCTTATTTACCCGCGTATAATGAAACTCTTTGCGAAATGACAACTGTGCATAATTACATATTATACAGGCTTAAACAGTGCCTAATACGTCTCGCACGGGATAATGAACACAAGCACATTTTTATGCATGCACAGTAATTTAAATATATCTCTTATCCGCGCGTCACAATACAGCATCATTTTGGGCGGTACATCAGCAATATAGTTAGACTACGAGTAGTCCCCATTTTTGCTCAGGAATAGTAGAGCGAGCGAAACGCGAGCGCGGGTAAAAATCATCTCACGCCAGCAGACTGGGCTAGGCGAGACGCGGCGGTGAGTGCGTCTCGTCTTTCTTGCGTGGTTTGATTTCACTCTCGCTCGAGTTTCGCTCGCTCTACTATCTCTGGGGAAAATGGGGACTACTCGTAGTCTACAATAAACATGCATTGGAATCCAGAAAAACCGAGGTGCCAGGGGTCTGCCTGGAGAAAGGTATTCGTAAGTAACAGGGGTTTGTTATCCTAAACACATCACTGTAAGCGCGGCGAAGTTTGCACTCGGCCTCGTTATACCGCCGCGGTGTTTCTTTTATAATGGGGTTGTCATCATCTTTTTTACAACGAGGAATAACTAAACAGCTACCTGAAATCGTTAAAAAGGAAAAAAAAATAGACGAGTTTTATCAATAAGTGTACTTTTTTGACCGCACTCTTTGAGACAACTCGTGATATTACTACTAGTTGCTTGACCAGTCTGATTCAAAAGATCTCAAAGTGTTACAGAGAACCACAAAATAATAAACTTTGACGACAATTGGTGGCTCTGGTTACGAAATATGGTGTCAAAAGTGACGATTACTGAAGAAGAAGGGTCGACGATGCATGAAGACTCGTGTGATTGGGCTGAACGTGACTAATGGATAGAGATGAAGATAAGATGACAGGGTTGCTGAACGGTTGCTGGAGGAATAAAGGATTTCCATATTTCGTACACAACACTTTTTCAAGGGATATGTTCATTATGGCGTTCCGTTGCGGACAAAATTATACCTATAGTAAAAACATGTTGAAAACATAATACATAAGTCGAAACTTGTAAAGTACATCGAATGCAATAAAAAACATGAGTCGAGATTTGCAAAATATATGTTCACGAACGAAAAAAAACACGAGTCAAAATTTTGAAATTTGAGTCGAAAAAAATATGCGAGTCGATTTGAAAAAAAAAAAAAAACTCGAGTCGAGAAAGGGAGAACGCTGACCAGTTGTGATATCAATCGATGTCTTCACTTCACCGAGACGAGGTTTCGATCCGAAGTAGTGGTTTCTTAGCTACCAAATATTGCAGAGTTTTTCTTCTCCCTTGCTAGACGTATCGAGGATTTGGATAGGCAGCTTAGTTCGGCTTCATATGACAGTTCAGAATTCTTATTTCGGCGCCTTGACGAGTACAAAAGGACTAGAGAGTTTAAATCACAACTGGCAGAGATACAAATAACAAAGCCAAAACAACCTGTCACGCAAGGACCGACAAGCATGAAAAAAGAAAAATACTGGCGCGCGGCATCGACATCAAGCGGACAAGGGAATCACTACAGTAGACACGAACAAAAATGACAAAATAAGAGAAGGTCAAATACAAATCGACGACGAACATAACTACAAACCTCTCGTTGAACCAATGTTGAAAGAAACGCAAAGCAAGGTGAAGCGCCTAATTAATTACGGAAAACATAATGATGAAATCTCAAACACCCAATCCACTTAGAATATCAGAGTTATACACTATTACAAAAATTTACAAACCAACTATAACTTACAACCAATAATCTTCGGGTGTGATTGTCCAACAGAAAGCCTTTTTATGAAAAAGCGTGATCTGTTCGTTGCAACAATTAATATTAAATTGCAGCTAAA